CTGAGCGCTATGCAGGTCACTGAGGCTGAGGGACCCGGCCAGGCTGCTGACAGAACCGCAGATGGAAGGCTGAGGTCCCCATTCTCTTCTAGCTGTTGCCAGCTGTTCTCAGTTCCTCGCTGGCACCCAAGCTCCCTGGTATGAGGCCTCTGTGGGCAGCGTGGGCATCAGGCAGTGCATGTCTGTGACTTCACTGAGGCCCAGTCCTTTTAAGAAGTCACCTAATAAAGCCCAACCCAGCCGGGCCATCTTTCTTCAGCGAACTAAAGCCCGCTGGTGAGAACTCCAGCCCCAGCGGTGACCTCCCTGCATACCTGCAGACCCTGCTTCCTCAGAAGTACATGGCCAACAAATGAGCATGAAAAATGTTCAACACATCTGGCCCTTAGAGAAATGAAAATTAAACAACATTGAGATCCCCTCTTACCCCACAAAGAAGGGCTATCACCAAGAAATCAAATAATAACAAGTGCTGGCGAGGCTGTGGGGAAAAAGCAGCCCCTTTACATTGTTGGTGGCAATGTGAACTAGTACAACCACTATGGAAATCAGTGTGGACAGTCCTCAAAAAATTAAAACTAGAAATTCCATCCAACCCAGCTATTTCCCTTCTAGTGTCTTCCTGAAAGAGTTAAAGGCATCACATTACAGCGACACATGCACACCCATGTTTACAGTGGCACAACTCATAATAGCAAAATCTTGGAAGTGGCCTAATGCCCATCAACAGACAAGTGGGTGAAGAAAACATGATCTTTAAACACAGTGGAGCATTACTGTGCCATAAAGAAGGATAATTTGTCATTTGTAGGAAAATGGATGCACCTTGAGATCATAATGTTAAGTGAAATAAATCAGACACAAAGGCTTACATATTGCATGGTTTCTCTTATATGAGAAACCCAAATTATAAATAAATTAAATAGCAAAATAAAAGCTAAGTAATAGACAAAAGGAAACAGATAATTTTCAAATGGGAAGAGAACCAAGAGATAGAGGGAGAGGGGAAGAAGGGGAAGAGAGAGATTCAGAAAAAGAAGTAAGATATGTTATGTACATGTACCAACTCCTATTCTCTAGTAATCATTACGCACTGCAAAGATTCACTAATAAAAATTAAAAGAAAAAAGTTTAGACCATGTGCTAAGGCTGGAGGATTGCATGTTTGAGTGTAGCCTGGGCACTTTGATGAGACCGTGTCTCAAAATGAAAAAGAAAGACAGAGAGTGAATGGAAGAAAGAAAAAGAAAGAAGAAAGGAAGATGGACTAGGAATGTAACCCAGTGTGAAAACCTTCTGCTCAATTCCCATTACCCCCCCTCCCGTGTGTGTGTGTGTGTGTGTGTGTGTGTGTGTGCGCGCGCACACAACTGAGAAGCACGTGTGAATGGTTACAAAATCCAGCAGTCTGGAAAAGTGCACAGTGAGAAATGTTTCCTCCACACCACCTTCCACCTCTCCACTACTGTCACCTCAGGATCTTAGCAGACCCATTTCTTAGCTCTCCTTGCAGAAAGGTTACACACTTACAGCCACAAATGGTAGCGTTGTCACCTGCGCTTTGCTTTGTCCTTCAGCAGTGCACCCTGCAGCTCTGCTCCACCAGTCTGAGCTGCTCCATTACAGTTGCTTGCTTCAGGCCGGAAGCAGAATCTGCACTGAGTTTCCTTGGTTCCCATCCAAACACCGGGGCTTCTTCCCTCCCTCTTCTTGGGATTCATGGACAAAGAGCCAGGTGAGGGAGGTAGCAGGTGATTCCAAGAGTTTCCACAGAGGTGGGGCAGCGTGAGCTGAGTCACAGGGCCTCCATGGGCTGGACAGGGCATGCCAGGGTGTGTCCAGGGGCACAGAGTACAGGGAGCAGAAGCGGCTGTCACCCAGCCCTGTTACCAGCAAGCAGCATGGACAGAAAACTCTGTCTTGTTTTTCTATGTGGTGTGATTGTATTGCTGCAAACAACCTTCCATATATATATATACTTTTGGTACCTGGGATCAAACTCAGGACCTCGTGCTTGTGAGGTAGGTGGTAGCACCACCGAGCTAAATCCCGGCCCAACAACCTTCTATTTTTGATTTTAAGTTAAATAAACAGTCTTAATTGTGAGCTAGAGAAAGTATGTGAAAACTATTAAGTTTCTTTCCAGGGAAAATTATTTTTGTAGTCCCCAAAACCAGATAACTTAATTAGAAATTATGTGGAACCCGTATCATGGGGTTGGGGTGGTGATGGGGGAACAGTTACTGATGGGACACTGTCAACTCAATAGGAGACCTGAGACAAAATTTTATTTCTTAACATCAGTACAGCTTGGAAATGTCAGATTGTTCAAAGGTAGATAGAAAAGTTTCGAAATGTGGGCATTTTCTTTTCTGTTTGGTTTTTAAAAATTACTATATGTTTGTGATACATGGTAATTCTCTTCATCTTGGGGAACTGGCACATAACATATCACATTCTGGCCATTTTAATTTCCACCTCTGCCCTCCCGTCTTCCCCATGCCTTCCCACCATTTTATGTTATTTTCAATTTAAATGATCGATCAATCACGATCAAACAGAAAAGCCCACCTTTTTGTGCCAAGGAGATCGTGCCTGCTGTTTTCTTCTGTACCGACTTGGGACACAGTCCACGCCCAACTTTTGGGGTGTCCATTTCCCGAAAGAGTTGTTTTGACCGTGCTTCTTGGGCCTGGTGTCACTCAGAGCCGTGCCAAGAGGAGTCAGTCAGCCCAGGCCTCACTCACTCCCTGGGAAGGTAGCAGAACCACTGAGGTCCAAGAGGTATTGGCTGCCTGTGCGCTGCTCTAAGTAACAGAGAAAGTGTCACTCTTTGAGGCCCCTTCAGGACCAATGGATGAGTTTGTTGAAATGACAACCAAGATGAAGCAACAGAAAAGTGTTTTGTTCCTTTCCAAAAGAAGACTGCAAGGAAGAGGGGTTTAAAGGCGCGGCCTGGCTGGCACGGTGCATCCCGCCCTCTGCCTCGACTGTGCAGGGGCTGGGCCAGTTGCTTAGGAACCGTCCCTTGCATAAGGCCCTACGTGTTCCTGTCCAGTACAGACATGTTCAGGATCAAAGCATGAGGTCCATAGTTTTCCATGAAAGCTAGCATTGCTCAATGTGTTTAAACTTTAACCTTGGTAAAAATAAATTTGTAAATCTGTAAGGTGGCCTCTTCATTTAGTAAAAATAGCCATTCTTAATGGCTCTATACAAACAGGAATGGCAATAAAGCACAGGGTCCTTTATTTGCCTCATTTAGATGTGAGTGATCTAAAATCTCTTCTCCTGTGAAACGCATCCTGGGGATCTGAAAATTCAAGAAACTGAAATGACAGAAAGAAATAGGCACATTTCACTGTGGCTCTGGCCCTATTCAATTTTTTGACATTTTCTAGTCTTTCTGTCAGTTTCCCCAAAACCCAGGCAGACAAGATGCAGGAGTCACCACACCCAATTATTCCAGAGGAAATGAGCAGGTCAGGGACAGCTAACCAGGCAGCTGCCAACCCCCAAGCGCTGGGGAGGGACACTTCTCACATGCGCTCTCCTGCCTTGTCGTGTCTCAGTTCCCACAGGCCATTTTCAGTTTTAGGATCCTTATCTTTAACCAGCTATCAGATGGAAGCAACTGTTACTGAGATTAGATTGCAATATAGAAATAAAGCTTATTTAGGTCTCCTTCTGAGTCATTTAGTAATCAAGCAAGTTTACCATCTGAGGGAATGTGTGGGGAGCATTTCTACATCAGTTTTGGGGGAAATCATTTCATAATTAAAGTGTGACCACAGCTGTCTGAGGGCCGGTGCGCCTTGCCCGAGCCAGCTACGGCAGGCGCGAACACGGCTCCCTTTTGCCTTGGGTCCCAGCTGAGCCCTCAACGGTTCCCGGGCGCTGTGGTGCTCACTGGCAGGAGTGCATCGGCTGAAGACGTCCTGGGTCTTTGAGAACCGGGTAGTAAAAAAAAGAAAGGCTCACCTGAGGAGGGACTAAGTCCTTGTCCAGCTGAAGCCATCCCACCCACTATTGCTAGAATGCTCTCCCTCTGGTCCTCCTCAGAGAGCCTCGTGCCAGAGACCCTGTGAGCGCCTCACTGTCCTAGGACCACTGCTGCCTCGCCACCCGCTGCTCCTCCGGTTACTGTGTGTGCCCAGCTCCGAGCCCCGTCTGCCAACTCTGAGGCACTGGCCTTGCGCCCCCACGTGCTCTGAGACGACTCAGGTCTCTGCTGTCTTTGCTCTTCGCCCTCGAAGTTCCCCTTTCTCGGCAGTCCGAGGACTGATCGCCCTCCCATAGAAACCGAGAAAGAACGATCTCCAGACTCGTATTTTAGCAACTGTGTTCCCTCCATTGATGTTATTAATAACACCCGCCTACCTGATCCGTTGTAGTTTATAAAGCATTTTATTTGATTTAGTTTTCAAGGCTGAAGAGAGGAAATTCCATTTCTGATATCATTATTTGATTGCAAGACTTTATTGGCATGACCAGGTCGAATGTCTCATCTCCCACCTGCTTTACTGTTCCTTGCCGGGAAGGTACCCGGCTGTCTCGCTCCCGACCTGAAATAATAAATGCTGATGATTAACGAACACAATCCCACACTTCTGGGGATCTGCCTTCAAGCAGACGCGCCCCTCCATCTCTGCCACTTGGCCGCCAGGTGTCAGGTGGGGAAGCAGCAAGGTTTGCGCCGCTCGCTCCGGGCCGGAAGCGACCCCCAGGGCTCTGGGAGGGGCAGAGTCCGCACAAGGGGGCGTCTGTGCCACGGCCTGGGGATCAGCGTGCACGTTCCCAAGCCTGAAGGGGCGGTGCAGCAGCACAGGGAGTGCTTCAAGTGTAAAAGCTTGTCACGCTGAGAGACTCGTCCGACGGTGGCAAGCGCGCCTAGCCCAGCGTTGCTTGGCGGATCCCGGCCCCGCCCCGCCCTCCCGGCCCCGCCCCGCCCTCCCGGCCCCGCCCCGCCCCTCCCCTCCCCTACACCGGCGTCCCGAGCCCGGCCGCGCGGGGTCGAGGAGCAGAGCCGGGCGCCTCCTGCCCGACGCCTCCGAGGCGAGGCCGCCCGCGTCCCGCCGATCCGGGCGGAGGACTCCCTGCCCTCTGGGGCTGTCCGGTCCCGGGGCAGCGCGGTGGACCGGGCGGGGGCGACACTAGAAGCGAGCCCGCAGCAGCTGTGCCCGGCCCGGCCCGGCCTCCGGCGCCGGCCTCTCCGCACTCCGCTTCCCCGCCGGCGGCCGGGTTTGCACCGGAGGGATCCGCGCGCCCGACCGTTGGTCCCCTGAGCGTCGGAAGCGCGGGCCCCGGGCCCCGGGCCCCGAGCCCCGGTAAGTGGACGCCTGCAGACGCCCGGCGCCGGGAGCGGGGTTTGCTGCCCTGACCCCGGAGGCTGCCGGGTGACGCGGCCCCCGCTGCGGACCTGTGTCCGTTCCGCGTCTGCCGCCCGCCGCTGTGCTTCCCTCCGTACGCGCGCGTCCCACCTCAGGACGTCGGCGCTTCAGCCGTGCGAGTTGGATCAGTCCCGTCCAGTGATACTTTATAACTCTCCACGGAAGACGCAGTGACGTGCGATTGTGTAAAGGCTAACTGTTCAGTGTTCGGTAGTTCTTAATGCACCTGGCGTAAAATCCCTCAGCAATTGAGTGCGCAGTACAAGTAAAGCTTGCTCCCTGCTCCCCCCAGAGGCACCCCTCTTACCACTGTGCTGTGTACGGTCGACAGTTTTCAAGAGGCTTTTTGAACCTCTGCACACGGGTGGCTTTTGTTTTTGAAATCCACCGATCTCACATTTATTATTTTAGCTATTTGTTAGTTTCTGTCTTCTATTTTTCTACTAACCATGCTGAAATGCCAGGGAGTCGGGCCAGTTTTTAGAGGGACTTTGTGAAGGCTGGGAATTTTGTGGAACAAATAGATCAGTATCCAAATGCCTTGAGGCCAAAGATCCTGGTTTATTGAGCTTTCGGGCTTCTCCCCCTTCCCACCACAGTTACTAGTGAGTACCAGGCCCGTGATTGGATTTCCGCACATAGATTGAAGGACGGGTGATGTTCACAGAAGCCTGATGCTTAGCAGCGTACTTGTAGTAGTGAGAGAGGGGACATGTAAGTCTGGGTCCTGGTTTTGACACTGTGTCTGTGATGGTGGCCGTCATTTGAGATTTCGCTCCTTACCTGTGAAGTGGTGGCTCGAACGCTGCTTTGAAGATTATAAAAGATCGTATAGAGCTTCGCACGGTGCCTGGTGGATGAAAGGGGTACTGTGAGTAGTGGGAGTGTCTGCCGTCATTCCCTACCCATAAGACAGGAGAGTCGCTTGTCAGCTCCTGTTACTTCAGAGTGCAGTAACCAATGAGCCAGAGAGGGAAGGGAAGGAGGCCCGATTTACTCTCTCACCTTCTAGGTCCTTCACGCGTCCGTCTTCCGCCCCAGGCTGAACTGCTGCTTCCCCATTCATGGTGACATGAAGATTAACTTCAGTGTTTGTCGGAAGGAGTCCCAGTTGGGAACTAAAATCACACCCTGGGTCATCAAATCCTCAGAATTAACTCACACCAGGATGCTCATAGCCCCTGATTTACAAACCAGAGTGCTATGCTTTTCCCAGCACAGTGGGTGATGTATCTTTCCTGGGTGGCAGGCATCTGTATAGGGACAATTTTCTGGCTGATGGATTTGCTTAAAAGATCAAATTATAAACTCCCGAGCCCAGGTATAGCTGTTGCATGTCCAGAGCGCACCCTGGGTTTTAGTCTGGTTCCCTTTTGGACCCTGGGCATGAGCGAGAATGTGGGCAGCATAGCCCAGACCCCTCTGGTGACCGCTGACAGGTCCTTCTGCTTCCTTTTTAGGCTCTTTGCTTGTTAACAGCAAATGTTCTTGTTTTAGGTTTTTTATTGTAAGTATAACACATGCTTACTGTGGAAAATTTTGTAACAAACAGGAAAACCTAGGAGAAAAGTGGAAATTGCCAACAGCCAATTCTTTTCTTGTCGATTGCTGATTGTATCATCCTGAGCTTATTATAATTATTCTCTTTTATGCTGCCTGCTTCTTGAACGGTGAGACTTTATTATCACTGTTCAGGTGTCTTCAGATGACAGCATTGCACAGATTGTCCATTGTATGTCAATTCTTGCTGGTTTGGTTTCATAGTCATTTTGACCATGCCTGGCACAGATTTATGGAGTATCCCCTCACTTTTCCTGTAACTGTTCTATAGTGAGATGTCTCTTAGGTAGTCCAAAATGATCTAATAATGTCCAAGAATATACAGTGAATGTAAATTAAAAATAAAAGTCTATTTCCAAATCAAGACAAAAGAAATTTTGCTTAGCTTTGCCATTCATTGAATAATTGAATAAACAGTGATTTTTTTTTTTTTTTTTTAGCAGCAAAGCTTTGTAAAACAGAAGGAAAGTTTGTATTTTAAAATTAAATATCTGCTGCCTGCCTCAAAAGCGCAAGGACCTGAGTTTGATCCCTGGTACCAAAACCAAACCAAAACAAAAACCAAACCAAACCAAACCAAAAGTAAATAGCAGCAGTCATAGAAAGGGAAAGAAAATATTTTTTTGCTCTGTTTGAGCCAGCATAGTTTTTATACCAACATCTAATATGGATGGCAAACAAAAAACAAGACTACAGATCAACCTCATGTGAGACTGTGGTTCTGGATGAACATCTGTAATGGAATCGTACGGTTAGAGTCATTCAGGGACAGCAAAGCACAGGGTAGCAGGTCTCAGTCCGGGTGTGACGCCACACTGGATGAAGGCACTTCTGTGTGTGCACTAAGGAGTGAGGCCCACTCACGTGCAGGTATGGAGGGCACATCCATATCCGCTAGTAACTGAACAATGAGGAACTAAATATAGTATGTTTTTACTTGTGTAAGAAAATTTTTCTCTCTGTAGAGAATGTGTGTATGTGTGTGTGTACATAATGCTTGTGTGACAAAACTTTCTGTAAGGTTAAAGCAACATTTGTAGTAGGAGAGAAAGACAAAGGGCTAGGGTGGGGGAAGAGTCTGGTTTTTAAATCCTTTTTAATGTTTGAAGTTTTCAATCAGATGCCTGCAGTTTTAGAACTAAATTCGTTTTCAGTGGGCAGCTCTGTGTCATAGAACTTCACAGAGACCTTGGGAACGAATTCTCCCCCAGTACAGTGCTGTGCCTGCTCCACCGAGGTCTTGTCACAAAGCAGAGGGGGCGCCTGGGCCGGCCGGCATGGGCTGTGCCAAGCGGCAGTTGGACGGAGATGCTTGTGGTTATGGCCACCGGGTGTCTAGAAACCACTGACAAAAACAAGTCACCGCAGTGCCAGATGTACAGATTGTGGTATTTACCAGTTTTAAAGCATGTTTTCAAAGAATGCAATGTCTAAATTTAAAAATTATAGAATATGATAACTGTTTAAAAGCATTTAGTAGTTTAAATCATTCACAGATTAGAAATCTAAGGATATAAGATAAATGCTGCAATTATTTGTTTATAACTTTTAAATTTCTTATTTAACCAGGTTTTGCAGTTTCTGATAATCTCATTGTAAGGTGATTAATAAACTGTAGGTTTTCTTTATGTGAGGTTGAGCCAAAGAGATTCTTTATTTCCTGATTTTCTTTTAAAGGTGTAACTGTCCTATTTCCTGGGCCCAGTTTGCTGTGTTTAAATGGAAGAGGAACTGTGGCTTCCTGCTGCTTTCCTCCATTGCTCTTGTCAGTGATCATTCCTTGCTGTCATCCAGGTCACCCATATGGTTCTATGCTCCAACTAGAGCTAGATTAAGAGAACCTGGGTGTGGTGGCACACACCTATTATTCCAGCCCCTGGGAGGCCGAGGCAGGAGGACGGCCAGTTCTATCCAGCCTGGACAACTTAGTGACTTAGCAAGACGCTATCTCAAGATAAACAAAAATTTAAAATGCTTGGGATGTAGCTCAGTGCAAAGGCCCTTAGTTCAGTTCCCAGTACTGCAAAAAAAAGTAAGGAAAAGGGCTTGGTATAAAATTTCACACATTTATTAGTTAATTGAACATATTCTACGTATTGTTTTCTTAAAGTCTAAACAAATCACCTGTCAGAAGATTTTCGTCCAAATATCAGCAGCGAAGCTCTCAGCGCACAGTGTGGGTGTGAGCTGACTGGTGGCCTGCTGTCGCAGGCTGCTCTCCGGGACATCATGTCCAGTTTTGAGGATGCTGACACGGAGGAGACAGTCACTTGTCTCCAGCTGACTGTTTACCATCCCAGCCAGTTGCAGAGGGGAATTTTTCAATCAATCAATTTTTCCAAGAGGGAGAAACTCCCTTCCAGTGAAGTGGTGAAATTTGGACGCAATTCCAGCACCTGTCATTATATTTTCCAGGACAAGCAGGCATCCAGAGTGCAGTTTTCTTTGCATCCGTTTAAGCACTTCAATAGTTCCGTTCTTTCCTTTGAGATTAAAAATCTGAGCAGGAAGACCAGCTTGATTGTGGACAGCCAGGAGCTGGGCTACCTCAACAAGATGCACCTGCCCTACCGGTGCATGGTCCGGTTCGGGGAGTACCAGTTCCTGCTGGAGAAGGAAGATGGGGAGTCCTTGGAGTCTTTTGAAACCCAGTTTATTTCTTCCCCAAGACCCCTCCTGCAAGAAATCAGCTGGCCAGCACAGAGCCCCGTGCCGGAGGACGGCCACTTCTCATCTGGCTCCACGCAGAGCTCTTTCCCCACAGAAATGGATGAAAATGAGTGGTGAGCCCGGGGTCTGAGGCGACGTCGAGAGCTGGCGTCTGTCACGCTGAGCAGGAAGTCTGAGAGTGGCCCGCCGGGCGGCCCGTTGCATTGCTGGTCTCCGAGGACGCGCACATCTGCAAGGGGCGGGAGCTGCGTTGTTAGGGTTGTGCCTTCTGCTGCTGCTGCATTCGGCCTCCGTCCCCGCCCATCTCTTCGTGTTGTCTCAGAGCAGCCCCTGGTTTCCAGAGCCGCTCTGGGGTGGCGCCTGCAGCTCTGTATCACAGCGGCTCACTGGGAGACTGCTTGAGAAGTCCGTAATTTTCACTGTGGAATGATAGAGCTTATCCCTAAACTGACATCTCTTCTAGGCTCTCTTCAGTACCTAAAACTAATACTTAAACATTGTAAAGAACCACTTTGACTAGGATTATTTTCTTACCAAATTTGATTTTTGTGTTTTACATAACTTTAAAATTTCATGAATTCAATTTTTAACATCCAGGCACATAATAAAGTTAAAGTTTAATTGCTTATCCCTCTGTTTCTAATGGGGCTCTATGTAAGTAAATGTGAATATTTATAATACATGCTTAAATATTTCTAAAAGTTTAGCTTCTAATACAGTTGTCTTTAAAAGATTCTCACTCAACTAATTTTTGTGAAGTTAAAATGAATATTACTGATTGCTACATAAATAAGAATGATTATACTTCAGTTATGTTGAGTTCTAGCACTAGCAGTGAAGCTGCCTGTATAATTTTCCAAGTAAATTGAATTTTCTGCTTACTATAAGAAATCCATCTTCTTTTGAAACAAACAAACAAACAAACTAAAATTTGGTAACAACCTTTCTAAAATAAGTTAATAAACTTCCCAGCCTCTTAACCAAATGAATGTTAGCCCCAGTAAATCTTTTATATGTATATATTTTCTTGTTTGTTTTGCTTTTGCAGACAGGGTCTCACTGTGTAGTGCAGGCTGGCTTTGAACTCACTGTGTAGCCCAGGCTGGTCTGGAATTTGTAGTGCTCCTCCTGCCTCCACCTCCCAAGAGCTGGGATCGTGGGTGTGGGTCACCATGCCCGGCAGCCTTTTCTTTTTTCTTTTTTTGGTACTGGGGATCGAACTCGGGTCTTTTACCTTTTCTTGATTCAGACAATCGGGCTCCCAGGCTGTACGTGTGACATCTGCCCCTCAGCCTCCCTCTCCCATCCGGGACTGCTCATTCCTATGCACAGTGGCCTGGATGACAGACACTTCTGGGTCTAAGTCTGGCCTCCTGGCCTCTTCCTGGGTAGGCAGAGGATAGCTGGCCTCCCCAGCAGCATCCAGGTGTTCCTGTGCCAACCTCTAGCACCCAGCGCAGTGTCTCCCAGAGAGGGGAATTAGGGCTGTGCTGGGCTCAGTGCTGCTCCTCAGTCGACCTTGAAACTGAGCGGCCACCCTGGCTGATGTGGACCAGCCAAGCCCATGGTCTTTGAAGCGGGAGAGGCCGAAGGAGATGTCAGCATGAAGCGTGATGAAGACTGAGCTGCTGCGCAGACTCTGGAGACAGGAGGGAGGCTGGGGCCAGAGTGCGGGCCACTTCCGAGCTGGAAAATGTGCCAGGACCTTGGGACACTGGGGGAGACCGAGCCCCAACAGGAGGCTGAGTCTGCCAGACTCCAGTCAGGGAGGCCTGGGTTCCGGGTCTAAGATGATACAGTATGTTGTTTTGTGCCACGAACCTGCAGCAGTTTGTTGACGCAGGATTAGGAAACTAATAGTCCCTCCTAGCATGGTAGCCTCCTGCTTGAGGGTTTACAAACCAGACCACCCAGCTTGTCAGAATTGCTTATGGCAGAGTTTCTCCTTAGAGGCTGCTGGTGAGAGAAGAGAATGTATGTTAATGTGTAGGTAGTGTCACACTTTGGAAGAATTTTCACTTCTGTTTCTTGTCTTTGAGGCTGGATTACTGATTAAATTACAAAGTTTTAATATTAAGGAATTCCTGTGTCATTGCTACCAAACCCAAACAGTGTGTTAGGTGATACATGTTCACACAGAATAATGACTTCTCCAATGTACATCCCGGAAAAGGTTTCAAACTTGAGAAGTAAGGAGAAGGTTGCTGAACAGTAACCTTGTTCTCCACAGGACAGAAACACTTCATAGCCTGGTCCCCATGGGTAATAGTGGACTGACCACAAGCCAGATCTCCGCCATAGCCACCCAGTGCGAGGGCTGTGGCTGAGGGCAGCGGAAGTGTCTCAACACAGGGAGGAATGAGGGTTTTGGGCGCCGTTCACTCACCTGCAGCTCTGCCCTCAGTGGCCCGTTCTGCATGCAGAGTCCGTGCTCTTGGTCCGTCAGAGGATGCAGCTCCGGGGAAGGCTCAGGTGGGTCCCATGCTCGCTCACCTTGCAGTCAGTCCACTCTCTGGTCACATCTTATGAGACGGCCCCAGTCAGTGAGCGTTTGGACAGGAAAAGCACCTTCTCAGAGAATGTCCACAGTGGGGTGGCAAACAGAAGTACTGGTGTTTGACAGCAGCCAACATGGCTAAGATGTGAGCATTTCACGAGAAACGTACACCGGAAGACTCCTTTGTCCTTGGGAATTGGTTTTTCTGTGGTACTGTTTCAACAGAGGTGAGATGGAGCATGTGTTTGCTGAAGTGTCACTTTTAAGATAATGTATTTTATCCACATGTGTATAACACGCATGTCTTGTAGAAAAATTCACCACAATCTTACTATTAGGGATCCTCGTGACCCCTGAGCTAGTTCAGTTCCACACGTGTTTACTCCCGTGTATTAACTGTCCTCTGTCACAATAGCAGGTGTGGCCTGTTTCATTGTGTGTGACGTGACTGAAACCCTGAGTTTCCATTCCTGGTGGTGACTGAGGGTGACCGCTAGGAAGTGTGGCTGGACTCGCTGGGCTTCTTGTCCCGCTGACTTGTCCCCAAGTCTGGTCACTCATCGCTGTCCCCCTCTGTGGAGTCACTGTGCTGCAGCTCCCAGCAGGAACTCGGCCAAGCTGTGGCAATGACAGTGGGAGGAGCGGCTCCAGCTCTGCCATAGCTGGAAGGCTGTCGAGAGGCCTGGGAGAAACCAGCTCCTGACGGCTGAGCAGTCAGTGAAATCGTTGCTCAAAAGCCCAAATAAAACAGACACCTCTGAGGGTGGACAGTCACAGCGAAGTGCAACGCTGGAACTCCACGTTGGCCAACGTGCCTTTTTGTGGCAGTACCACTTCTGGTGTCCTTAAGCAAAAAACAAAATAAAACAAAAAACCCTCAAATAACACCCCCCAAAACCAAACCACTCAGAACCAATATTGACCCAACTTCTACACAGACGTCACGCCCCCGCCTGCAGCTGCAGCCCAGCCAGCCACCGTCTTCTCAAAGCTCCGGTGAGGTGGCTGCTCTTTCCTGGTGCCTATGACTGCACGTTTTCTGGGTCCCCGTTGCCCTTGTATTGCTTCTCCAGGCGGCCTCTGCTCCCAGGCCCCACTGGCCATCATGAGAGAAGTCAGCCCTGTCCTCCGCCTACCTCCTTGGGGTGAGCTCAGCTGGTATATACCCCCAAGCGCCGCTGGCCTACCTCTGACTCCCACGCTTGGACCTGGCCCTCTCCTTTGGGCTGCAGAGTATACCTGCGTCCTGACACCTTCCCTCCCATGCCTCCCAAGCCCCTCATCGGACTTTCCCAGCGGGACTTTCTCCAGTGTCTCAGACCCGACCGTGCCAGTGCAGCCAGTCAGTGGGAAGGAAGCCGAGGGTGGGCGTGGAGAGGCAGCTACCGCGGCTGTCAATTCCATAGCTGCCCAGGAGGGAGGCCGGCCCTCAGGAGTCACTGTGCACGCAGACAGCAGCCAGCAGACAGCATGTGGTCAGCAGCCCCTGTCCTCAGGGGTCCCCGATGAGCCTGATGTGGGGCCACACAGTGCGAAAGGTTAGTAGGGAGGGAAGCTTCGGAGCCGGAGGAACCACAGCCTGGATCTGGGCCCGAGCCGGAGTGAGTAACTGAGTCACGGGCGGCCTGAGGGTGCAGCAGAGGCGGCTGCCCATGAACGCCGGGCAGCTCCCCTGAGTGGGCCGGATGTCCCACCCTCAGCTGACTGTGAAAGCCCTGTTGAGCCTGCCTCTAAATCTGCTCTCAATTTCTGCAGCCGCCGTGGCCAGAGCCCCACACGTCCCACTGGGAGTGCTGCACCCCGCTCTGCCACCTCTGCAAACGCAGCTCTGACCGGGTCAGCAGGCACGGAACGCACCAGACTGGCAGGGCCTTCGCCTGCCGGCCTGCTCCTCCGGCGCCGCCCCCCTCGGCCGCCCGCCCTCCGTCCCTCCCCCGGGGCCGAGCGCCAGTCCGGCGGGAGAGGCCTCCCGGTCCCCAGCAGGTCCCCAGCAGCCGGCGTGAGCTCTGCCCGCCTGGAGTGGCTGCCTGCTGGCCCGAGTCTTTCTACACAGAACGGCGAGCGGAAGAGCAGGGGTCTCGGGCGGTAACTTCACTGCAACGTCTCTAATCCCAACCCAGTGTTTGCTGAAGAAATAGTTCTAGTTTATAAACCTAAAGCAGAGCCTTCATGGTGTATCTCACTAAACAGAACACATTTTCAAGTTTAGTTCCAACATCTTTTCCTGATTTACTCCTTTGGTTTCACATCAGACTTAATAAAAGAAGAAGTCTGGAGTTACAATATCTGCATTTTTTAGAGTTAAACCAGTAATAACTAATTTATTTTTAAATGTAAAAATGTGTTTATTCACAGTCCTTGAGAAGTTACCATTCCATCAGAAAATTCTTTATGAACCAAAAACAATTACAATAGTAGCTTATGCCAACCAAAAATATACATCTGATGTATATAAACCTTAGAAAGCATCACACAGGCAATGTGGACAGAGAACCTTTAAGGGTTTCCAGGGACACAGCTGCAACTTAAGTTGACATAAATAACAGCATTAGCTAGTTACTGTATTTACATATTAAAGTGTCATTTATTTCTATGAGATTAAAAAAAGGACAAAATAAAACTACAGTTGTCATTGCCTAGCAGTTCAAATATTGAAAGTCCATGTGATTTTTTAATACAGCAAGAACTTTAAATTACCATTTATTTCTGGACCGTCCTGTATTTTTGAGAACATGCACTGTCACTGTTGCAAGAGAAGGAAAACAGAAAGAGTTGGCTAACTAAACTCACACTCAATCCTCAGCAAAATCAAGGAAAGCAGTTAGGGTGTTTCACATCTTCCACTTTCCTATCGATGCGTAAACTTCAGGGCAAAGAGAGCTGAATTTCCATCACAAAATGCAGTTATACGTAGTGACACGCTGCTTCCACCCCTCAGAGCACCTCGTGCTCCAAGGCAAAGGAGAGTGTAATAAATCAGGGCCTTTCATACCAGAAAGGCTTTTATTTACTTTGAAATACCCGTATTACCTTTTTACATTTTCCTTTCTTAAGTCATTCAGAGAATAATGTTCTGTGTGAAATCTTTCTAAGATCACTCACTGGAAATACAGAAGTAAAAAAATGACACCTGAAAACTTAATATATCAATTTAAAATCAATATATTTGCATATAAAAGAAGTATAAATCCTAAATGGATTTTAAAAATATTTATTATTACCGACTTAAAATGTTCAAACTCTGAAAGCTTATTATTTTTGATATTTTGTTCAGACTGAATCGGTATCATCATACTAGCATATGTAACAAATGAGAAAGAAAGTGATCCTTCAGCATTTCTTAGGTCATCTACTCAAATCAATTGTGCTTCCTATTAGAGAACAGAATTCTAAGAAGTCCTAGAATAAACACTGGTAGGAAAGGGAAACTGTCCTAAGTCTGAACCTGACAATCCCTCCTCACGCTCCCTTCACATCTGCTGAGCATTCACAAAAAAATACTGTCAGATTTTCACAATAGATAGAGAAATAGGCTTGGGAAAGCATTCAAAGTAAAATTAATAAAGATTTTTAAAATGAGAAAATCTACAAGAGTGAACAGGGATGCTGTAAAGAGTTAATAGAAATTTAATTGATAACATGACATTAAATTGGTCTTACAATGCAGAAGGCAGATGATAAAATTGCACTTAATTCTGAAGCAATTCGGATCTATCCTACACTCTTACACTTTCTCATAAAAGGACACTCACAGCACGGCTCCTCACCCCGACACAAGGCTCAGCAACCACAGCTACATTCTGGTTGGTTTTTAACCTTTGGTCAGAACTGATGAACAGGCTCAAACAGTTCTACACTATCGAATCTGCTGATGGGCGTCCGACTGTTTTATGCCAGAATCGGACAGTTCGAACACAGGGTTTACGAAGCCGGAGTACTCGGAATTGCCATTGTCATCCACTTCGGCACTGACGAAGTCGTTCTCCCACTCCAGCCCGTTGGAGTCCTCCGAGGTGGACGTGGGGTTACTTCCGGTCTTCCTGCTGCTGGATGTCAGAGCGGCCCGAAGGATGTCCTCCTCTGTCTTGGAGCGTTCCCGCACAGGAAGCATTCTGTTCATCCCTAGGATGTGAACAGAGTTTGAGAGGTCTCTGTGAAGACAAAACGCTGCATAAAAGCCCTCTCAGGTTACAGTGCAGCTGTTGCTGCTGCTTTTTATTCTCAGACTCTGTCCTGGAGCCCTGAGGAGCCCGCTGGGGAAGCTGCTGGGGTCCAGCTCTGATGTATTAAAGGTAAGCGTTCACCCAGGGGTGGTTTTGATGCAACACTGAACACAGGCCACAGTGAAATTTCTTAAGAGCCATGAACCAAACAGAGTGGATTGAGGTTTTCAAATGCTATTAAGTCTTCTATGGCTGAATTGGTTTGTCTGCCAAAGTCCTTCCCTACCCAGATGATGACTGACCGCAGTTCCCAGAGAATGATAGTCACCCTGGTGATGACAACACAGGCTTTCCCAGCATGCATGGGCTCCTATTAATACTGCTCGCTCTTCACATCCACCAGCTGATTTGGTCCTGGTGACTACAGTAGCTCCATTAACCCACTTTAGACTGAGGAATGGGGCAGAGATCTGTGCAATGTCACAGAGCTCTAAAGTACAGGGTAAGAATTTCTCTTCTCTTCCTTCTTGGTGGAGCTGGGCATCGAGCTGAGGCCTTGTGCATGTGTAGGAAGGAAGTCTCTATCGCTGAGCTGCATTCCAGCCCTGGAGTGAGAATTTAATTCTTTTAGTCTCGTGGCAAAGCCCATGCCCTCATCGTACCCTAACTGTACCATAAGAATCCAGATGTTTTTAGAGGAACCTGTTCTACATCTAATTCTGAACATAAATCAACTGGGGGTAAAGTAAAATTTTATTTATTTTTTGGTACCGGGGATCAAACTCGGGTCCTTGCGCTTGTGAGGCAGGCGGTGGAACCCCTAAATCCCCTTTGGGCTAAATCCCTGGCCCAAAGTAAAATTTATCAGAATAAATTTAAGATGGATGACTGGGACCCAAATATGTAAGAAGTAAGTACAGGACTGGAAAAACGGTGTTTAACTGAGAAGAATGAAGAAAGTGGATTTCTCTGATAAAGGCATCTAAGTTCCCTGAATCCATTTCTTTCCTGATAAACAAATGAGCACGACTACAGGACATCCAAGGGCCACTCCACCTCAGGAGTCTATGAAATATTTAATGCTTATTATTTTTCTGAAAGTTTTATATTCTATAATCTTCCTTGTTCAATTTCCTATTTCTTATCACGACAATGAAAATCTGGGCCCCATTCTGTAAAACAGCCTTAAAAACACCAAGCAAAACAAAACAGATTAGCTACAATTTCGCGTACTTAATAGTGCAACACCCTGTACTGGCTGCCTATCTTCACGATATTCTTTCTCTTATTCAGTCAAATATTGTTTAATTGGTTATTATATGCCAAGCAACTTTAGACACTAAATATACATAACAGTGAAGAGTTATCCTTTAAGGTAAATTTATTCTTGCCTTCTCACAATGAATAAACTGTGGTTTAGAAACTTAAGTAATGTATAGCTAGGAAGACATACCAGCTAAAATTAAAACTCATATCTGAATAATGGCATTTGTCCTACCAAAATCACTAACAATAAAATTGCTCATTTAGGATGAACCCAGGTAACCAACTTTGGCTTCCTCTGCCCACAAGGCAATATGCTCTCATATTGAGTAATGTCATGAGGGGATCAGAAAAAAACCTTAACATTTATTTTCTAACTCTCCAGAAATATTAAAAGTCAAACAATTTATTAACAAATGATAATTACTAATACAATTAACAGTGTAGGACAATTTTTAGGTTTATTTTTCATTCATTTCCGTTTAAATACAGGAGATTTACATAAATCCGCACAGATTAGCCTTCTCAGCTAAGTGTGAATTCTAAAATACCTTCCTCATCTTCCCACTCCAGGTCTAAGGACGTGTTGTCGTCATTTCCACTGGTGGATCTTGTCTTGGTCATTAAGTCACTGCTGCTTTCTGTATTTGGTGTCAGTGCTGTGGCATCTGAGGAGAGTCCTAGAACACACCCCAGACATAATTAAATGTTGTTACTGCTACTTGTTCACCACAAAGCTATTTTCTTTCGCAGTAACTATCTCTCCAAATATTACTATGCTTTCTGACTTCAAAAGAAACAATTACTGAAGTCATTACATTGGTATGTTTCTGGTAGGAACAGTATAAAGGCCTTTTTTGGCCATCTAAGAATAAACATGCAAATTTAATTGAATTATAAGCTTTTCAAATATGATGATCCAGGTAATACTTTTATTAGCCAATTACAAAGGACAAAGAACAAACACTAAAACGGATGAAACACATGAAAGGCGGCTGGTATTTTCAAAAGGAACCATTCCTATGCTTCCACTACCCAGCAGCAGAGGAGGTAGCAGCTGCAACTTTTGAAACTTGAATATTTCAGCTTTATAAATGAATTTGTAGTAAGTAAAGTAAGTACATTTTTGTACTCCTTCCTCCCACCTCCCTTGCTGTGACCTAGAAATGGAAAAAGGAGTACTTGACTCCCTATCAGGGATCTATAAAAACAGCCTGAGGCAGTCCTTGTGCCTCACTATATAAGTACTTAATTAACTTAGCTGGGCAATACAAAAGGAGGGAAAAAGTTCTACAGAAAGAGCCAGGGTCTCCAGTTCTCTCTTTAATGTGACATAAAGTAAACTGAAAACACAGAGAATACTTTAAAAGACTTACTACTACTTCGAAAAACTTCATACTGGGATTTTATATTTCTCATACAAGATTCAAAGTCATCTTCTGGTCCTGAGCTGTAATAAAAACGAATTTTAAGAATATAATTGTAGTAAGTGAAACATAATGAATGTGTTAGTGTCTTTGGTCTGAAGGCCTGTCTCAGATTCACAACGGCTGTACAATTAGGATAATCTAATGAAAACAGCTCTTCAGCTTCTTAGTGTCAGCACAAAACTGAAAGTATTCAGATTTTGGTTAATTCCGAAGTCAAAACTCTAAAGCTGGGCCAGGGATGTAGCTTAGTGGTGCCAGGCCTGCCTGGCAAGTGCAAGGTCCCGAGTTCAATCCTTGGTACACCCCCTCCCCGAAAACCCCCAAAACCCTAAAGCTTAGCTGTGGTTCTTTGAGCTGGCTGTATGAGGAAACGTGACACTGAAATGTCTCTTCCAGTAAACAATCACACATTAATCTGTCACAAGACTGAGGAGAACCAAACAGCTAAGGTTACATGTACTTTACCCACAGCCAACTGGCTCCTGCGTGGCTTTACATGGAAGATGTGAGCACTCGTAAAGACAGAATGAAGTCAACTTAAATAAACCATCACTTCTGAATTTAAAGACAGTGTCTTAAAGAAGAAGTGTATTTTTTGTTTTGTTTGGTGCTGGCGATTGAGCCCAAGGCCTTGTGCATGCTAAGCACACCTCTCCATGAAGCCACACCTCCAGCCTTGGAGAAGAAATGACTTTCAGGGATCACAGAAACATGAACACAGTTCTAGATAGCCCGAGGTGAACAAAATTTTCTACCACACAGGGTTATTTACCTCGGATGGTCACCATTGCTGGGGTGGTGATACTGATGCACAACTCTCCGCCTTCCTTGCTTTGGAAACACAATGAAATAAAAGTCACTGTACTGCAAAATTATACTTTTAAAAACCATGCATGCAACGTTGAAAAGCTTTTCTTGTTTCTGAAAACAAAAAGTTATTCTGTTGAAGTTTTTCCTTCAACTCATCACTATTCACTTTGACATCCTCTGATTTATAGACAGAAGTTTTCTTCATTTATCAGTGTCTAAGCCAAAATGCTTAGGCTATTCATAGGGTTTTAAAAAGGTAACTTTTAGACAGATACGATCTGGTGTCCTCAACGTTCTTAGCATACCTAAGCACTTCCTGGTAACTTGAAGGATGAGGGGTAGGAGAGGAACAGCTAACGTAGTACCTGCCTTCTAGGCAGTGTCAAATAAGAGGGAATGAACCAAAGATTGAGCCAAAAATGGTGGCAGTCGGTCTCTTAGGCCTCGACGGAGTGAGAAGCCCCGTCAGGTTGAAGCCCTGACAGTTACTAGCTATGTTTCTCAGGCATGGCTTTTGCCTCTGTCTCTTCTTCCGGGGCTCACAGATGGCTATGTCACCGTCCTAGCAAATTCAGGCTCAGGATTGAAAACAAACGAACTGGGACGTGTGTGCATGTGCCTGTGTGTAAGAGCGTACTGTGTAGACTGTATGCTCCTGTAGCAAAGGTTTAGTCAGGAAGTGAGAACTCAGGAAACCGTCCAAGTGGATGCGGCATTCAAGACACTTAAGTCTCTAACAGGCAGCAGTAGAGAATTTATTATGGTAGAAATAGTGCCTCTGTTATAACCCCAAACCCCCCACAAAACCATTTTCATGTTTTAGAAGGCAAAAGTTAATGTTTAAACTTTCCCCCTATTTAGAACATACTAAAATAAAGATACTTCTCCATAGAATTTGTGCTGAACACCCTGCCAGCACACAGGTGTGCACACATGCACCCAGGAGCCGGGAGGGAGAAAGGGCAGTGCACAGAGAGGTCACATAGCAACGCGACAGACGTGACTTTTCAGTCCCTTTAAGCCTCCGCGTGTGCCGGACTTCAGCACGCTCTGGTGAACACTCATCGCGATCCAGCAGGTGGAGCCGGAAGCCAACTCTACCGGGCAGACCGGCCAAGCAGGGCCGGAGCTACTGCTCCGCTGTGGACCAGCTGCATGGTCTCAGGACAGCTGCTCACCTGTGCCTGGCCCGCTCTGCAGCGCAGAGATGAAACACGCTGCCACCCGAGACCCCGTGAGGGTAAGCGGCAGGGAGGCTTCGCAGAGCAGAGCCCGACACCGGTTTACAGCGGCCAGGCGCCGTGCCAGTGCCAGGTTCCCACACGGCAAGGACTGACTCGGCAAGCCTGCTGCCCTCCTGATGGTGTGCCGAAGATCTCTCAAGACCCACAGAGAGGAGTGAAGACGAGGCGTGAAAACAGCCCCGCGGGAGGCGGACTAAATGTATAATAGGTCATGTGAAATAGGAAGAAAAGGGGCAAAGGGGAAGGAAGTGGGAAGGCTAGGGGAAAGGACAGAAGGGAGTGGGATTAATATGAGAAAACGGAAAAATAGGAACAAAATCTTTGTAAATAGGGAGGACTGGAGGGGTTGAAGGGAGGGCTGGGCAAGGGTGAAAAACAAGAACCAAGAGAGACTATGTAAAGGTGCAAATTTCCAATGATGAATGTCATTATATTGTATACCTAAAATGTACCAATGATTAGAATGAATAGTCGATAATGCAAAATAGGAAGAAAAGGTCCAAAGGGGTAGGGGTAGTGGGAGGGGCAGGGGAAAGGAAAGAAGGGAAAGGAAAAATGATGAGAAGTGAAAAAATGCAAATAAAGTCTTTGTAAATAGGGAAGGGTGGAGGGCGTGAAGGGAGGGCTAGGAATGGGGAAAAAATAAGAACCAAGATGCATCATGTAAAGGTACAATTCCCAATGAGAAATGTAATTGTGTTGTATACCTACAATGTACCAATAAAAGCATTTAATACAAAAAAAAAAAAAAAAGAAAAGAAAACAGCCCCGCGGGGCAAACACCTACTGCTCCTCTGATTCTAAGTGCAGTGCAAGACATTCCAGCAAGTCAAGGAGCTGCTTTAAAAAACCCCTCAAAACTTCAGTACTTTGAAAAGTATATTTCAAGGCTAGTTTTAAAACATATTTCCTCTAAAAGTATGTTTATTTTCCAAAAGAATACTGAATTTTAGGGCACTAAAATTTACCTGTGGATAAACAGGAATTAGCTTCTGTTTTAAAACTAAATGAGATTCTGTATCAAGCATGTAATTTTATGTTATTTCCAGTGGTTAAAAATTGATGAATTAGTCCTGAAAATACCTAAGAACAAGTGCATAAATACATTCACTGTTAAGCAAGAAGCCCTTGAGTCTAGAGAAAAAGTCCCCAGTGGGATCTGTCCAAGAAAATAGGGAGAAAAGCAGCCCTGGTGTGCTGGGGTCTCCCCCTCACCTCCGTGAGCTTTCGCTGCTTTGCTGCCCTGGCTGCTTCACGCTGTGCAGCGTATAAAGCTTCTTCCTCTAGTCTTAGCGTCTCTTCTTGTAAGGCTAACTGTGCACGAACAGAACAATAAGGGTTAACAGAACCAGAACCTGTCTAGCTGCTCAAAACAGAAATGTCTTTTATTATTAAAATAAAAAGTAAATCATTAAAAAATAATTGATTGCTACAACGCATATCAGAATTGATGTTTTTGTGTCTCAACTGCTCCTTTTATAAAATGACCCAGATGGTAAAGACAGTAAGAAAACTGAGTTTTGAAACAGCAGCATGGAATTTATAAAAATACACTGCTTCTTTCTCTGGAGTTTGCAATGACCTTCGTTTTCAACAATCATTCCAACACCTACCACCCTCCTCAGGTTAACGGCTTTGGCGCCCCTCAGACAAAGATCTTTAAAACTAAGGCCAGTCATATTACTGTCCCTAAAACAAACTGAACTTTCACAAAATCCATGTCTCTTCATCTAACTGCACTATCACACGTCTCCTCAATTTTATTACTATTAAACTACTGAACAATTATGCTCAAATTTGAATTCTTGTTATTTATAACATGCTGCTTTAGTGACAGTTACTGCTTATCAAATTTAACTTAAATATCATATTTTGACATTTGTTTTAGAATAATTTTAGTTTCTATTGTGTGGCTTTCAGTTAGGACATTTGAAATTACGAACTGGTACTAAAATAACTGTTTTTAAATGTATGATGCATATAACTAATTCCAGTTAGTGTAGTGATAGCAAAACTATAGTTGCAGGGTATTTCCATACACACACTAAGTAAATATAACATTTATGATTGTTAGAAGTACTTGGTCCACCAAGAAGAAATAAACCCAAGATAAACAAAAACTTAAAATAAATACCACTTATTGTGAAACAGTATTTATTTTAGTCTTGCTAGTACCCCATACTTACAAATTAACAAATTATTCTTAAAAGAATGTACTATTTTAATTTTTTGGCACATAGAATCTCTGATAAATTAAGCGCCCCCCCCCAAATTATCCTGGGGTGCAGTAATTTTTTTTACTTTGAAGTCATTTTTATTTGTATATATCTAAATATAGGCCCAATGACTATACATAATACACTATTTAATGACAACTCTCCCTTATAAAGAACAGGCTCTATCATAACACCATTTACCTCTTTCTGGATTTTCCTATCAAGATCTTTCTGTTTTTCAGCAATAGAATCATAATGCCTCTCTCGTAGGTCAACAATTTCTTCCTCTGTAAGAGGCCTAGAGATAAAAAAAAGAACAAAAAAGGAGGGAAGGAAAAGAAAAAAGAAAAAACACTAAAGCCAGTGGAATTCTGCAAGTTTACTGTCAAAACTGTCTTAACTGGATTTGACACTATAATTGTTAAAGGCATATACTATAGGGCAGGGGATTTAGCGCAGTGGTTCCACTGCCTGCCTTGCAAGCACAAGGTCCTGAGTTCGATCCCTGGTACCAAAAAAAAAAAAATACAACTTTCCGGTCTGTAAGTTAAAAACCCCAGTACTGTCTCAGGTTTTTTAGTTTTAGTTTTGTTTTGTGCCACAGCCATGTTTGAAGAGATGCTGATTCCACTGGCCGTGTTCCAGCTCCTGATCCCGAAGAGTTCCCATCTCTAGAGCCCCATCTCGGCCTCTTAGTCGGGGCCCTGAAGCCTCCTACTGTTTGCCCTGCAGCAGCCCTGGCCTCCAGGCCCTGGCTTGCCCTTTCCTCCCGGGGACCAGCCGGTCAGTGTCCTGGCCTTGTGGAGCCCACACGTGTCACTGTGAGTGCACCACGCTCACCACGACATTCACCCTGCCCCTGGAGCATCCCCATGACCCCTCCGCTGCAGGTACCAGGAAGCCCGGCAGCGCAGTGTGGGCCTCAGCCGGCACGAGGCCCACACCCTCCAGTGCCTGTGCTACCCTGTTGTCATCTTTCGAGCTAGCTCCACATAGCTCGCCCTGCCCTCTCCACACTGGGGCCTCGGACGCTCTCCGGTGTCAGCCCCTCACCCTCAGCACCCGGGCTGCTAACCAAGGTGTCTCCTTGGACAACCTCTCCCTGTATATTCTGGGCAAGGGCTCTGCTAGGGTTTCCAGTGTTCTAGAAATGCTTTTTAATGGCTTTTAGCACCTCACATTGAATAGCATCTCTGGGATCTATTTCTAGGACCACAGTGTTCTCTCTTCTAACGTAGAAACCGTGTCTGATGTTTAAGAAGCATTTGCTAACCTGAAACATTAAGGGACATAATTCAAACATGGAACAGTACATGGAAATATTCTCTTTTGATTTAAAGACTAATGTGTCTATTACAAGAAGGACGTGCAATTTTAACAGCATATTAGAAGGCTACTTACACTATTCAAGGTTTTAGTTGACAAAAATCTTTGGATTAGTAGAACAAGTTTTAGAACGTTATCAGGAGGGAAGGGGGGATAAAGTTGAAAACTTAGAAAAGCAAGTGATAAAATCTGAATTCTTAGAAAGTTCAGTTTATATACAAGTTTTTGTTTTTTTAAATCTTACCTATGACTGCTTCCTGGGCTCTCTCCCTGCACAAAAATTAATGAAAACAATTAAAGAAATTTCACTAGCTGAATTTTTAAGGCAGAACAATAAAATCCCCATTCAAACAAAAATATTTTCTACTGACTTATTTTTTCATTACTACGAGTTTGAAATTTAAAAAAATCTTTAAAATTGTACTGTTTTTCAGCGGCAAAACCTGGTTTACTATTAGCAGGGCAGCTTAGGCTGGAGCACACCGTACGATGGGCAGGAGGTAGCACCGCGGGCCGAGTTCGGAGTGACCGAGCCAACCCGGTATAGGAACATAAAACACGGCTAGAAAACAGGACCGCTAACACACTCGGCTCAGTTAACAGCAGGAATAAAATCCTAAGTGGTCCAAACTAATTTAGGAAACAACACTATGGAACAGAATGGCATTCAACTAAACCACACACAAAATGTGAACTAAGACATGAAAAGACTGGTCTGTAAAAACTAGTACAAAGAAAAGAGAACCCTAGGGCTGGGGATTTATTTAGGTCAGTGGCGTTGCACCTGCCTTGCAAGTGCAAGGTCCTGAGTTCAATCCCTGGTACTGGGGGTGGGGGGAGAGAAAAAAGAACCCTAACTAACAAAAAAACAGCCTAGGAAAACCCACGAAACCGCAAGTCCTTTAATGCTGAGATTAACTACTCTGGAGGCTGAAAGAGCTCTTACTCATCAGAAGCTTTCAAAATGTGTCCAGTGTTTGCTTACTTTAAAGAGAAAGACATGGAGACGAAAGTGATCTTGGAGAAGGGAAGGTTTTATAAAACTTTGGGTGTTATTTTATAGGGAAAACAAAAGGCTGAGACTTTCCCAAATATGACCTACCAAATAATAAATATGTATGCTTTTTACAAGGATTTATACCCAAATTGATTTAGGAAACGGTGAGTTGGACAAGTTACATAATTTTAACAACAGTTCCCAGAACCCACAACATGCTGACATATATTCTGAGACTAATATTCTGTACATACTCTGGGAAACACTAGGCTGAAGAGTACTTTAATTTTCAAAGAAAAGTGTTTATGTATTTTCCTCTTTCCCAGAAAATTTAAAAAAAAAGACAAAGTCAAAGCTTGCAGTGCTCTTGGCCTAAGCACTTTAGGTCAGGGAGGGCTAGTAGTCTGCAACACTCACACAATTTGTTTGGTGAAGTTGGAGATTAGCATATACACTAAAGGTCTCCCAACTATGTCTGTGGGTAAGAAGCACACACCTTTCACTGGTTCTAAAGAGTTCCTTTTCTCATCTTTTAACATTTCTATGTTTTAGATGAAATAAGATGCAGAAAATCAACATTAAGAGTGATGGCTAAAGCCAGAAATAGATTGTAGAATGAGCAAGCATTAACCACTCCTCAGAAATCCATGCGAACTATGGTCTCAGAACATCTCCACTCTAGTTAGTTCAAATGTTTTACCTACTTAAGGGGAAGAGGTTAGAAGTATCCCTTTTGGAAGTTTCTTGAGTTCTATAAAAGGCCTTAAAACTTCTGAAAACTTACACTATATAGTAGAAAATTCTGAATCTTTGCAAATATAAATTAGTAAACATTAGAAAATGATAAATTAGGAAATGATATGGAAGGAAAAAACGTAAAAAAATTTTAAAAATAAAATTTAAAAAATAATTGTTAGAACTAATGCAATGACTAATGAGAATAACAAACACGAGTTCTGTATCACAATGGAAATACTTACTTCATCACTTTCTACTAGATTCTCAAACTGAAACAACAAGAAAACAGTGTTAGGGGATATTTGTCTAACAAGATAACTGTTACTTTTTTCACCTTAAAATAGTACATTTTGTTTTAAGAAGATATAGTACTTAAGTGCCTTCTTATACATCTGCTAGCTTGATATATTCAACAGTCCAACAAAATAGCCAAGGCAAGTGTACGCTATTTGTATTTATGGCACTGTTCAACATAAAGCAGAAACTGTATTATAACTGAAACTTTCACCTGAATTGACTATTTCATACATGGATTTTAACCCACAAAACCAGAATTTTCCACTTCAGTTGAGTTCAGAACAAACTAATAATCGTAAAGAGGAAAATTAAGAAATAGGGACTAAAAAGATACCCAAATAAAAATTTCTCTCAATGTTTATATTTACCCATTCATTCATATAATTATTTACTCAAAGTCTACTAGATGGTATTTACTATGCCCAAACACAATGTCTTCCTAGGGATAGAAATGTGAAAATTTGATTAGGATGTGATGAATGCTGTTATGTCAAATGACCTTATGGTAAATCATTACTATTAAATCATACCATTAAAATATCTGTATTTTAAATACAAACAACTTGATAAATAACCACTTGAAATAAACAAAAACATGTTTTATAGTTAATATTGTTTATGTGAATTCAAAAGGTTTAGAAAACACAAAAATCTAAGGTGTTCAGAATTATTAAATTCAGCTCCTCTAAAGGAGGGCCCTCTGCCTTCTAGAATTACTTTTTTTGTGTGTTTGGTACCAGGGATTGAACTCGGGACCTTGCGCTTGCAAGGCAGGCGGTGGAACCACTGAGCTAAATCCCCGGCTTCTAGAATTACTTTTAAACCCATCCAACTCATGACTCACCTCTATAGTCAAGTGCTCACCCCTAGAGCATGTTCTAAAGTACTTGGATCTGGGGAGAAAAACAGTGAAACAACTTTAAAAGTCACAACTAGCTTTAAAACTGAATTAACGTGACGGCATAAAAATATTTCTTTGAGGGCAACTTTAAATTCTCTAATATATAGTACTTTCTATTTATAAAAAGGAACAACCACACCTATCTCTGAATATAGTCTAGATTTTAAAACTTCATTATGTGTTTGGTACTTATATTTACTAAACCGTCAATAAATCAATTTACATAGCTACCTATAACAAAATAGAATTACATTTTAAAATTTATTCCATTTTTACTGTATCAAGAAAATTATCTCGTTAAAAATAGTGTTAAATAATATATAAGAGTATGTCCTCAATTTTGTTACACATATGCAAAACACCAAAAATCTAAACATACACAATATGTGAAGATAATGGGGCCATCCATATATATTTACATAAGGCTTCTATTCTCTCCCACACCCTCACAAAGAAGAGAACAACAACGTGTATAACGTCAAGCAAACAGCCTGCTAATTTTCCTGCCAGGGCCCAGTCCTGACTTTAATTCTAACCAATGCCTTGCTCTTACTACAGACTGCGGTAGCGCGGCTCTCCTGCTGCGTCTGCTCGCCGGCCTCTCCCAGCGCTGGCAGCTACGGCAGGCGGGCAGGCGGGCGGGCCAGGCCAGGTAAGGTCAGGTCAGGTCAGGTCAGGTAAGGCAAGGCAAGGCAAGGCAAGGTAAGGCAACGTGCGGTGCGGGCCTCAAGCCTCCGCTCAGGCAGGCCAGGCCTGAGGGCTGCGCGCTGCGCGAGGGTGGCAGGCCAGTGCTGAGAGCGAGCTGCTTCTTCCGCGGCCACGTTCATCTGCTGAGCGCCAACACGGGTTCTCCCCTCCCCGGGAAAAGCAGATTGCGCGCTACCCTTCCACGGTCTGCAGGACAGGTGCAGCCCCACACGGCGCCTCGGCCCCCGGGCTTGGCAGGCCGTGAACCGAAGCAGGGCCGCGCCGCGCCGCGCGCTTCAGGCTGGGGGGCGCCGCAGCGACTAGGCAGGACTCCAGGGGCACGGCGGCGCCTCCAGTGAGCGCGTGAGGGCGGGCGCGGACTGCCATTCGGCCGAACTGCAACTGCTGTTTACGTCCTAATTAACTTGTAATTCAGCATTATCCTGTACGCGCTGCTAACACCGGAAGAGTAAACGGTGGTTCTTTCCTGCTTTCCAGTAGGGCGGTGGGTCTTACCCGCGCCTCGCCTGGCCTCTGGACACTTGGCTTTTACGGAAGGAACCGCGGCCCCGGCGTCTGTCTCCCCGTCCAGCCTTCCTGAGCGAACCCTGAACCGTGGCCGCCAGTGCAAGTGAGGCCTAGCGCCGAGGGCCGCGCCGCTGAGCACCGCAACCCGGCCGAGGCCGCGGGGCGCTGCCGGGGCCCGTCTGTGCCTCCGTACGCCCACCACGCTGCCGCCTGAGCCTCCCGCGTCTGCCGGCGGACAGGGGTCCGGGTGGATGGGAACAGCGGGCGAGCCTCGCTCTCCAGGGCCTGCGGCTGCCGGGCCCTCGCTCCCCAGCAGTCTGCACAGAGGCCGAGCAGCTGGAGACTGCACAGCGCCGCCACACAGCAAACCCCTGACACAGACGGTGCCTTCCGGGCTTCTGACCCACCACTGGCAACAGGCAGGACCTAAGAGCCGCAGCGGCCAACACAACAAATAGCAGCAAACGGTAAAACGGAAGATAACAGAGGAGCAGGCCAAGTTCAGAGAGCGACTCGAACTGGCCTTTTACAGTAGATTAGCCTGCGACCTTACTCACAAACGGCTTCTACCACAAATGCTACGATTATATCCAGAGGCTAAATATTCAGTTTGGCAAACTCAGGGGCTACCTTTATAGCAGAAAAGCTTTAACCTGGATTTACGTGAAAATAAGTGGAGAAACACTGTAAACTACAGACGTTTATCTCCACTCAGGCAAATGTTGCTGGCGTCGGCGGCACAGGATCTCCTGGACAGGGGCGCCCCGTATTAAATCTGCTCATGGATGCTTTGTCAGCTTGCAGCCATATAAAAACCATTGCTTTTCACATATTTTTCTATGTGATACATATTTTAAGTGATTAGAAAGCCGACTGTTTAAAGCATTTCAGATTTCGGGGAGCTACTTCCAGTAACTGACGAGAATCCTTCACAGTACCGGGCACAAAGCCTACCGAGTGTTCAGCGCCGCAGGCTCCGGACAGTGCCTCCGGGCCGCCGGGGCCCACTGCGGAGCAAGGAGCCTGGCGCCTGCGGTCCCTCGCTTCGGCTCCCGGTAGGGGAAGGGTGGGCAGAGCAGTCCGGAGAGCAAAGGAGAGATGGCACTAAACGCGGCCTCGGGGCTATGCTTTGACAACTCTGCGCATTTGAGGAGCCGGCCAGACTGCAGCAAGCGGACCAAGTCTCCAAGTACCGCTGTGAGCGGACTCGAGGCCTGGGCTGTGGGGACTGGCCCGGGAGGCTGGGCTACGCAGGCTCCCAGGGGGCCCTTTCTGGTCAGCACAATCAGAGCTGGGCGCGGTAGTGCAGGCCTGTAAGCCCAGCATTCAGAAGAGGCTGCGGCAGCAGGGTTCGAGGCCAGGCTGGTCTACACAATGAGACCTTATCTCAAAGTCCAAAGGAAAAGAATAACAGGAAAAAAAAGCCCCAAAGCAATCTGCCAGAGATACCTGGAGGAAAAGAATTCTAAATCAAGGAAAAGCACCTGCAAAAGCTGTGGCCAGTCTTGGCATTCACACAAAGCTGTGCCTGGGTGACTGTCCTTGATTAGAATTCCAACTCTACAACATTAACAGAAGCATCAACTAAAAACTCCTGAACACTGCTTCCTATAATTAATCCCGAGGCTACTTCTTGATCCCGGGTCAGGAAAAGCCCTTTTCTTCCTTGCTTCAAACCCAGGCTTTCTCCTCCTGTCCCAAGGAGTGCTGGTGGGAGACAAAGACGGCAACATCAGCAATTTTGCCCCCATACATTCGCTTCTTGTTATTACTAATATAGACAGATGCTGATTGTTTTTATGAATTTTCTTCTAATCTCTATGAAAGAATGGAACAAGTCTACTCTTGGGGGACAGAGGAAGACTGAATGAGTTATCTTCCAATAAGTTGCAAGCAGAAGGAAAAAAATTAAAACTATAAATAACACCTAATGGATGACATGTGTGTTAATTATTCTTCTCTTGTTACTGCAACAAAATACCCGACACCCAAAGTTGGAGGGAAGGGGTTTATTTGGCTGAGAGCTCACAGAGGTTTCAGTCCATAATCAGCTGCTCCAAAGCAGGGTGGATGGATGGCAGACAGGCACTGCAGAGAAGAAACAACATGGTGCACACAAGGCAGCAAAGGCACTGAATGAGAGGTTAACAGCATCTTTCTGCCCCTTTCATCTTATTCAGACTTCTGGGATGAGGGCATTGCCAAACTAACGCTCACATGTGGTGGTTTAGTAATCACCTGCCCTTAACCCCAGCATCGCACATCCAGATTCAACTACCTCTGAAAAAGGAAGTCCCACCTCATCTGCATGAGGCTTTGGGGGCCTCTAGACACAAACCATAACCACCTGCTAAGTTACCTTAAAGAAAAGAATGGCTACTAGGTTTTAAGACTCAAAAGCAATAGAAGAAAGTTAATAATAGTAAGAAAAGGAATCGGAAGAACAGCAAAACAGAGAACAATGTGGGCAGGGTGTCTGCAGACCAGAGGTGTCCCTGGTTCAAGGTCTGGCCCCAGGGGCAGGCAGTGTCCAAAGTGAGGAGTTTAGGATTTTATAATCACCTTCTGTGTTCTGGATCACAGCAAAAGAATGTGTTTACTTACATATACAAGTACTATACAGTTCCCAGACAGCTGTATTACTTTAAATCACTAAGCTACCACCCAATTTTCTATGTTTGATCCAGTAAGGCTGACAGTGAAACCCTGGGACATAGGGAAATCGTAAGTATGGCTGCCCGAACAAAATTATTATGGTTAAATGGGACAGCAAAACTAGTCACTGTGGAAAAATCCTAGAGCTTGTTTTAGTCAAGTCTCCCAAGTCCTGTAATGTTTCATTATAGTACACAGATGCTGGCTGAGATCTTTTTCCAAGGATGACATTTCAGTTGTATATAGTTGTATACAGTTGTAGCATCAATTTTTAAAAAGCAAAAGGAAAAAAAAAAAGAAAAGAAAAAAGAGCTGGGATATTGTTCAAAAGCAGAAATTTGGTACCAACTAATTAAAAGTAAATTTCCAACAACTTTCAAGGAAAGTCTTGATTATTGTTACTTTAGAAAAATAACAACATTTTGCTTTCTTCAATTTAAAGAAGTCAGTATTGTACTGACTTAAAATTTCCAGTTACATATGATATTACAAAATCCAAAGGATAACAAGCTATTAGCATAATGGAGAACAAAGCCAGACCTACATTTGTTGAGTAGCCACAATGGGCCAGGAAGTGAGTTGCATTTTCACACGTGTTTTATGTAAGCTTCCTTTTCATGGTACTCCTATATCCTGTCAGACACGTCTACACTGTCTAGCATGTTTGTTACTAGCCATGTGCGCTTAGCAAGCACTTGAAATGTGGCCAGTCAGAACTGTGAAGGCTATGAAGTGTCAGATTCACACTGGACTTTGAAGACTTGGTGCCAAAAGATGTAAAACATCCAACTCCAATAACGGAGCTCTTTTCAGCATCTATCCATGGTCAAATGCAGATAAATAACTATTAGCTTTTTCTCAATTCATCCCAGTCCATCACAGTTCTACAGCTGATAAGAGTGCCAGCCTGGAGCCCACAAAGTGTGAAGCTCACATGCATCACTACTTGTGACATGTGCTTTGGGTGCACTGTCAGAAGAAAAAGTCACTTAGGGTTACTCAAGAAACATTTATTACTTTATTATTCATATAACGACTGTATTACGCATAAAGATTTTACTAAATGGAGCTAACTGCCAACATTTAAAAGAAAATCTAGTCTACTACTTGCAGTTATACTTG